GCCCTGTTTCCCTCCGCCGGACTCGTCCCCGGCCCGTCTCCCCCCTCGTTCCCCTCCTGTGTCCCCTCCTCTGTCTCCTGACCCGACTCCTCCGTCGCACGTCTGGTCTCACCGTCCCCCCTGTGCTCGTCCTGCTTCGCCTGTCTTGCGCTCCCACCCTATGTTGCTTCGTTCCCACGCGTCTCGTCCTCCCCTTCTGCCGTCGCCTCCTCCGTCCTCCCTTGTTGTTGCACCCCCCCCCGCTGTCTGACTACCTTCGTGCCGCTCGTCCCCTTGTTCCTCGCGTCCTTGCCTCTCTCGTTACTGACCCGTCCGTTCCGGTCTCGTGCCTTGACGCTCTTGTCGCTGCTGTCGCTGACTTCGCCTCTACCCGCCGCCTTGACTACGCCACAGCTGTGGTCTCTGACCCTGCCTGTCCTCCGTCTGTCGGGGGTGCTCCTGCCCTTGGCAGTGACGTCCTGGAGGACCGCCAGTTCGAGCTTGCTTTCCTGTCCGAGGCTGCTCCCCATCTCTGTTCCATGCTGCTAGTCCCTGAGGGTGACCCAGACGCTTTCGACATCCCGACCCCTCGCACTTACGCTGAGGCGACCTCGGGACCCTGGGCCTCGCAGTGGATATCTGCCATGGAGCAGGAGATGGCATCTTGGAGATCCACCGGCACCTTCGTCGACGCAGTTTCCCCCGCCTGGGGTGAACGTAGTCGATGGCCGCTGGCTCTTCAAGGTGAAGCGCCCTCCTGGAGAGCCGCCTGTGTTCAAAGGCGCGCTATGTGGCTAGAGGCTTCAGTCAGCGCGAGGGGGTGGACTTCTTCCAGACCTTCGCTCCGACCCCAAAGATGACTACTCTTCGGGTTCTGTTTACACCTAGCTGCTCAGCGTGACTACGAGCTTCACTCCCTCGACTTCTCCACTGCCTTCCTTCAGGGCAGCCTACACGAGCAGGTCTACCTACGTCGCCCTCCGGGCTTCACTGGCACCTTCCCTCCTGGGACCCAGTGGCTCCTGCGACGCCCCGTCTACGGCCTGCGCCAGGCTCCCCGTGAGTGGCACGACACTCTCCGTGCTACGCTTGCTGACCTGCAGTTCTTTCCGTCTTCCGCAGACCCTTCACTCTTCGTTCGTGCTGGCCAGACCCCGTTCTACATCCTTGGTTTACGTCGACGACCTGGTCTTTGCCACAGCAGACAGGGACGCACTGGCCTCCGTAAAGGCAGAGCTGCTGAAGAGACACACCTGCACTGACCTTGGAGAACTGCGCCGTTACCTTGGCCTGCAGGTCTCCAGGGATAGAGCTGCGCGCACCATCACCCTGACTCAGTCACACTTGGTGCGCCAGGTCCTTCAGAGTTTCAGCCTTCAGTTCTCCTCTGCACAGCCCACCCCTCTGCCTGTAGACCACAGGCTCTCCGCTCCAGTGTCTGAGGAGTTGGTAGAGCCCAGCGGCCCCTACGCAGAGCTGGTGGTTGCCTCATGTACCTGATGACTTGCACTCGCCCAGATCTCGCATACCCTCTCAGCATCCTGGCTCGTTTTGTGGCCACAGGCAGACACCGACCGCAGCACTGGTCTGCCGCTAAGAGGGTTCTGCGTTATCTTGCTAGTACATCGGGCATGGGGTTAGTGCTAGGAGGACGCAGGCCAGTGGTCCTTACTGGACACACAGACGCTTCGTGGGCAGACGACGCCGAGACACTCAGGTCTACCCAGGGCTACTGCTTCAGCCTTGGCTCAGCTGCCGTCTCGTGGAGAGCTACCCGCTCCTCGTCTGTGGCGCAGTCCAGCTGTGAGGCTGAGATCTACGCTGGTGCCATGGCGGCACAGGAGCTCCGCTGGCTGACCTTCTTGCTCACTGACTTAGGTGAGCGGCCTAGCTCTGCCCCGGTCCTGTTCGCTGACAACAGGGCCATGATCCTCCTGTGTCAGGAGCCTCGACTCGAGGGCAGAGCGAAGCACATTCAGCTGCGGTACTTCCTCCTGCGTGAGCTACAGCAGCGACGTCAGGCTCGCGTAGTACACTTGGCCTCAGGTGCCAACACAGCTGATATCTTTACGAAGGCGCTTGCGCCTAAAGATCATCAGCGGCACTGTGTACAGCTTGGTCTAGTTCCTGTAGCCTCTCACTTGCTAGGACCTTGACTTTGTATTGTCCTTTATATGTATACTCAGACTGGACTTGTGTCCTCTCCCAGTGGCTGGACTAGTAGTGCCGCCCTGCTCTTGCTCTTGCCTTGTCTGTACTCCTTCTGACTGGTCTCTCAGACCCTTGTCTCAGAGGTTGGACTAGTAGTGCCTCCTTGAGCTGCTTGTTTAGGACATTCCCCTATGCAGTCTAGGGGGTGTGTCAAACATGTGTACTTGTCATGTTTGTATAGACTGTATAGGGTAGTCTCTTAGAGGGTACAACCCTGAGATATATCCTTGTGTACTCTCTTTCTATCAAACATTCAATTTACAATTCTGATACTGTGTACAGCTTGGTCTTGTTCCTGTAGCTACTCACCTGTTAGGATCCTGATTGTGTACTCTCTATTATATATGCCTGTCAGACGGGCCTTGTGGCCTTACCTCCAGTGGCTGGACTAGTAGTGCCATCCTGGCTTGCTTTAGTTTTGTTTGTATTCTTGCTGACTGGTCTCCAGACCCCTGCCTCAGTGGTTGGACAAGTAGTGCCACCCTGAGCTGTTTGCTTCTTGCTTAGCTTCACCCCTTGTCTAGCCTAGGGGGTGTGTCAACTTATACATATTAGCTATGTAGAAGTTATAGGCTAGACTGAGGTATGCTTCGAGTGAGTACAACCAACTAGTACTTGTTCTAGGTTTCCACTTCTAGTCAATCATTCAGTTCTTACTTAACACTCGGGTCATGGCTCGTGATGACCAGTGCTTTCGCGAGCGCAAATCCTCAACGGTTAGGCGAGCTCGTGACACTGCAGTGGCGGATTGACTGGCTTTTTCAAACCATAATCCGTGAGTTCAATGCCTGAAATGCAGCTGATGGTTCGTTAGCCCGAGCATCTAGAATTAATGGTTTCCTGCAGGTTATGATCAGCAAGATCATTGTCAAGAATGCAGGTTATGGATTGTATACGCGCTGATATAAGTGGCGACCTATGTGCGTTATGATCGGTGAGTTCAATGTCAATCAAGTATGCCAACATGGATGTTTGACGCAAGAATCTTACCAAGAGGGACTGCCTTTTCAGGTTTATGTCAGCGAGTTCAACGTGAACAGATTTATGTATCATCCTTATCGGAGTTCCAGTTTTCTCCCCCCTTTAAGCAAGAATGTGATACACTTGTAACGAATTGATTGGCTTCTTCAGGCCATGTTGCGTGAGTTTAATGTCGAATACGCAGCGGACGTATCGTTTATGCAGTGTATACTACTAACAGAGTGACTGTCTTTGCAGGCTATTGTCAGCGACTTCAATGTGAAGGACGCAGGCCATAGGTGATACTTACTCTAGAATTCGTCAACCGGATTGGCTGTTTTCTGGGAGCATGATCACCGAGCTCTTTCAAAGAACGCGGTTTATAGACGCTTCAAGCAAGATTGTGTTGCAGCAGCAGCGGATTGACTGGCTTCTTCGGTCATCAACCGTGAGAATGCAGCTTATGGTTTCCTTCATGCGAGACTCTCGTAGTGTTAAGGGCTGGAACGTTTGTTGCAGGTGACGATCAGCGAGGTCCAGGTCGGGAATGCAGCTGATAGATGTTGACAGGAGCATTAGAACTAACAATCATGTGGCTGTCCATGATCCAGGCTTTGGATTTCTAAGCAAGAATCTGGCGGCGATGGATTGACTGGCTGTGTTTTGAGTCGGCTCAAAACACCGAATGGCTGATGCAGGACGAGATCAGTGTGTTCAATGTCAAAGACGAAGGTTATGTATGGTTCACCCAGGAATCGACTACTAACAGACAGGTTGTTTTTTACAGGTTGTGATCAACAGGTTCAATTTCAAGGATGCGTTTGGAGTAATTCTGCTGGTCAAAAGGAGCATGTTCAATGTCAAGGACGAAGATTATGGATCGTTTACATAAGTTACTGGTATGTGAGTTTTCCAGGCTATCATCTTCTTCAATGCCTAGAATGCAGGTGATGCTTCATTTGCATTAAAGTTTAGTGCAGCTAACGGCGACTGCCTTTGCAGGTTTGAATCTGTTAGCGGGTAAGAGATTATGCAAGAATGCAGTGATGAACCAGTTTGCTATCCATTAATAAGAGATTATCAGCAATTATGCAGGTTATGGATGGATTATTCATGTAGGAATTCAGGATGGGTGGTTGGCCATTTGCATGTTTTGACTAGTGAGTCCATGTACCGGTAATAGAATGCGTGTAGTGATTCGTGCTTACAATGTGTATGTTACAGGCTGATTGGGAGCCGCTGCTCCTTCCAACATTTGTGAAATTCGAGGGGGGAGGGAAGCTTGGGCCTCTGCCGGTGTTCCCAGGACCCGCTAACTGTTCCAACCATGGTCTCGTGGTCTTCGCCCCTGTGAGCAGTGCCCCGCTTCCCGTCAGTCCAGCAGCCGAATCTGATTGCCATACAGGCAACAATGAGAGCATTTTCACAAGGCTTGTCGCACAACGCTTGTCTGAACAGACAGGACTTCGTCACAGGACTTTGGTCGCAGGCACTAGTCGCAAGTCATTAGAACTTCGTCAGAGGACTTAGTCGCAAGACTTGGTGTTCGGATCGTCGAATCAAGTCAAGAGCTCGTAAAGCTCTTTCCACACCTCGTCAGTCAAGATTCTCGAGTAACCAATTCGGCTTCTTGTTGTAGAGTTACTTTGACACCACTTCGTTACTTAGCAAGTCGATCTGTCACAATGCGGACTCCTAAGAACGTTGCGCCTTAGTAATCCCATCGCCCGTCAGCACGATTTCGTCACCCGCCAACACTTTCTGATGGTCTCTAGGCGCCTCAGACTCAGACTTCGCCACCCTTAGCCGTTCGCGATGGCGCCGTCGCTTCGTGCGATTCGTGCGACGTTCGTGTGCCTGTCGCTGAACCTGACACTGTGCAATGTCTTCAACGGACGCTACTATACCGCACCGACGCTCCCTCCCCCCGCGAGTAGCAACATTGCGAATGCGAACAGCAGGGAGGGGGAATCCGCAGAGTCAGCGGGGTTCGTGCTGCCGAGCTCGACGCGCATCTGCGATGCGGATGAGATGATTATTGGCGCGGAAGGATTACTACCCTCTTTGAAGGAACACTCATGGTGCGAGCTGATTTGGCTTCGGTCGTTTCGCGACTGCTCAGTCACATTTGTCAAGTCGTTGTTGACATTCAAGTCATCCTTCCCCTCCTGTTTTTCCCCATGCTTGATTGACATTCGTCCCTTGTCGTGCTTTTCTTCCACTTCTGCCGTTTTATAACCCTCCGGTTAAGGCCCACCATCGTGGGGTCATCTCCTCATCATTACACGTCATCCACACGTCATCCTCAGGAACCCCTGCTTGTGTAGTTGGGAGGTGGATCTGATCGCATCAGTGCCAGCTCAGCAAATGACAGCACCCCACCGTCGTCAACGCTTGCAAGACCGCAAATGCCTTCCTCCGCTCGTCAGAAAAGGTGCAAAACATAACTTTGCTCGTGTATTCAGTTTCACAAGACTGCCCTTATTTCCCTCCCTCCCTTCCCACTCTTTAGCATCCTTTCCCTTTCAACCTACTTTCGTATCACCTTTATTGTCCCACCTTAACGTCATCCCTTTTCCCCACCCCCTCCTTCTCCCCTGTAGGAACCCGTTTGTTCAAGCTCCTTTCTCCGCCTCCCCCCTCTGCTCTCCCTCCGCCCGCCTGCGACCCCCGCTTCCCCTGGGCGAGGGGGGAAGCTTTTGCTGGGGGGAGCGGATCTCTGCGCCCTGATGCGCCTGGATGGGGTGGGGGAGAAGCGAGAGCCGTTGGGGGAGGCGCTGGGGGAGGTGCCGGGGGAGGCGTTGGGGGAAGGGGGTGGGCAAGCAGGGGAGGAGCAGGGGGGAGTGAAGATAGAAAACACGGAAGCGGGTTGGAAGGCGCAGGAAACAGCGAGGAAAAGGGAGCAGCTGAGAGACGAGAAGGCACTGGGAATGCATTGAGCGGAAGGAGAGGAGGACGGGGTGGGAAGAGCACGGAAGACGGGGATGCGGCAAAGGTCAAGAGGACTCTAGTTCAGGAGAAAAGCCGCGAGGAGGCAAAGGAGGAGAGGCTGAGGCAGACGATGCAGCAGGAAGGGAGGAAAGCAGAAGCATCTAAACAGTCCGCTGGAGGACTGAGGAGCACCATGGAGCAGCGAGAGAGGAAACCAGAGGAAGACAGGAAGCAGAGTGAGAAGGGTAAAGAGGAGACGAAAGAGGAGAGGCTGAGACGAATAATGAGGCAGCAAGAAAGGAAGGCAGAGGCGGACAGTCAGCATAGCCAGAAGAGAGCGAGGCAAGGGCCTGGCGGTGGGGCTCACGGCATGGGAGTGGATCCCGTCCACCAGCTGGCACTCGGCAGAGCGTTTTCTGCAGTAAGTGTTGGCCTGATGCGAGTGAAGTGGAGAGGGCAGGGAGATGGGGGGAGGTCAGGAAAGCAATTGCATATAGAGGAAAGGCAGAAAGGGATATCTGCATCGTGAGGCTTGTATTCTGGCTTCGAAAGGAGGTCAGAGAAGCGTTGCTTGCAGGAGCTCCAGTTTTTTTCTGCTCACTTTCAGGAAGGTTTTTTGCTTCCCTTTATTCTCTCATGAACCTGCTGTATGCCCATTCCTCTTCTGGCCCCAGTCATGTGAAAAGTGTTTACCGATTATCCAGGGCTGATTCTTTCCTTTCTTATTTCATCCTTTTTAACCGTTCTTAAACCATCAGCTGCGGCAGGGAAGCTACTCGGAAGCTGCTAAAGAATTTAATAAGGTGAGAAGTTTTTTGGGTGAGCTACAAGCAAGTTGCTTTGTTTCGCTTTTCAAGACAAGTATTAACCAGACGTCAGGAGCAACCATGAAGCGGATGTAAAAAATCATCCTAACAGCAAGAAGCTTTGCTCCGTCTTGTTTCTTCCCATCGCTTCACCTCCATCCTCGATTGGGACACCTCCATGATCTATCACCTCCAGCTCCCCTCTCAGCCAGAGTTAGTGGATTCCCCCAGCTCACGGTGCCGCAACTGTGCAGCACAGCACATGCTGCTGTTAAGCCAAGGCGTTGCCTTTCTTGCCCCGCTCTCCCTCCCATGCCTTGTTTGCTCCATCCCCCCATCCCATTCTCTCCCATCTTAGCTGGAGGCGGTGGACCATCCCGATGTACGACAGCACATGCTGTTGGGCCGGGGCATAGCCTTCACTTTCTTGGGCCAGCCAGATAAGGCGCTCAAGGACCTCACCAAGGTGAGCATTTTCCAAGGTGACTGTTTTTTCCTTGGGAGTTTCTAGGAGTTGTCTACATTGGGAATGGATTGCAGGACGTGCCTTTATTTCCTAATCCAACTCCTGCCCTCGCCCCGCACCACATGCCGTGGAGGGTTCTGGTCGCACAGTTTGATCCGCCGCGAAGTCCCTTTCCCTATCCCTCAGAGCGCAAACACGTTACACTACCCTCATCTGGCCAAGTTCTGGCGTTGTTGGGCTCAGCTGCTGTCTCCCCTCCTCGTGCTCCTTTGCTTCTCCCAGTCCCCCACACCCCCCTTTCTATCCGTCATCACCACCTCCTTTCCCCACCCCTCAGGGCACAAAGCACTTCCCACACATGGTCGAGTTCTGGCGGCGTCGAGCTCAGGTGCTGTCGTCGATGGGGCGGCGGGCAGAGGCAATAAGCGACTACACGCAAGCTCTGCAGCTGGAGCCAAACCACTACGAGACGGTGCAAGAAGAGGTGAGCCACACCACTTTGAGAACCTGCGGGCTCTTGCTTAGGAGTAGAAAAATGTATCATTCGCACATGGCAACTCCCAGTAGTACGTTTTCTTACAGAGATTGTTCCAGTGAAATCAACTGTCGATGGGAAGTCAGCTCAAAGACTCCTCCTTCTTCTCCCTCCCCACCTTGTGCCTCCAGGAGTGCTGGCCTTCCAGGCGGGTGACTTCTGGACGGCCATCGATGATCTCACAGCCGCACTCAAGCGCCAACCCAATGAGCCCATGCTCACCCGTGCTGTGGTATGTCCAGCGCTGCCGTGCTCTCATGTACTTATCTGTACTGTGCTGTGCTCCTCCATGCTGCGATATGTCCCCCGCACTTTCCTGCACTAGTGTGTTTGATCTGTGCTGTGCTCTGCACATCCGTGCTGCGATAACATTTCCCACACCACCCCCCACACACAACACCGCAGTCAAGCCCTGAGATCCTGCAGGGCAGCCCAGTGGAGGGAGACAGTGCAGGTATCGGAAAAGGCGGTGAGGCGTCTTGCAGGGTGGCAGTGCTGTGGAATGAGGCCAGGGCGCGTCAGGAACTGGGGGAAGCACCTGGCATGCTTTGAGTGGATTCAACAGCTAACACTCCCTCTCTCCCCCGCCGCATTCAGGCGCTGAGTTATGGAGGGCGGGCCAGTGGAGGGACACTGTGAACATACTGGAAGAGGCAGTGAGGCGGCAACCAGGGGTGGCTCTGCTGTGGAATGAGAAGGGCCGGGCACACAAGGAGCTGGGGGAACCGGAGCAAGCACTGGCTGCACTGCGCAAGGCGCTGGCACTGGAAGAGTGAGTTGGGTGGGGGTGAGTGTGCGAAGGCAGGGTGTCGGATGCAGAGAGATTGGCGGCTTAGAAAGGCAGGCCGCACACGGAACTGGGGGGGGGGGGGGGAGAGGACGACTGGCTGCGGGCATTGGAGCAGAAGCTTCTCCTGCAGCATTGAGTGAGTGCGCGCGGGTTTACATCATTTCCTCCATGGCGTTTAATTCTTAGGCTCTCCCACTCCTATTGTTGCCTCGTCCCCATGCTCGGCAGAAGCTGTTGTGGCTTGAGTAGTTTTGGGGCGATGCCGTGTCCATTCCCGGGGGAGCACGTGCATGCCCTGGCCTTTATGTGTGTGTCACTGGGTTGCGCTTATCCTTTCTATGTATCCCTGCCTGCTTGTATGTCTACATGTGTGCTTGTGATCATGTACGCATGTGTGAGCGTGTGTACTTGTGCATGTGTGCAAATGTGCATGAGTGCAGGACAGCAGAGGCATATCTACGCTTGGCCGTTCTGCTGCAGAGCATAGGGGACCACAGGTGAGTCTAGTTACAGACGGGGGGCGATAGGGGAGTCTAGTTACAGACCAGGGGACGACAGGGGAGTCTAGTTACAGACCAGGGGACGACAGGGGAGTCTAGTTACAGGCCAGGGGACGACAGGGGAGTCTAGTTACAGACCAGGGGACGACAGGGGAGTCTAGTTACAGACCAGGGGACGACAGGGGAGTCTAGTTACAGACCAGGGGACGACAGGGGAGTCTAGTTACAGACCAGGGGACGACAGGGGAGTCTAGTTACAGACCAGGGGACGACAGGGGAGTCTAGTTACAGACCAGGGGACGACAGGGGAGTCTAGTTACAGACCAGGGGACGACAGTGTGAGAAAATCAAGTGATGATTGTATTAGGAAAAGAGTGGGTATACATAGGTGAGGAGTAGGAGGGAGGGGGGGTTTTGGTTGGGAGGTGACCACGATTATTGGTGACCCCAATAAGTTGAGTTGGCCAACTTATTGGGGGTCCAATGATCCTAGCCAAGATTATTGGTGGGTCCAATAATCTTGGTTGGGATTATTGGGGGTTCCAATAATTGGGAGCCCAACCAATTTGGGAACCCAACAAGGTTGGGAACCCAACCCCCAACTTGGGTGTATACACCCTAGTGGGGTGCTTATAAGTACCTAAGACAATGAAACGATGTAGGCTAATAGAATGAAGGGAGAATATTCTAACACAACCCCTTAGCCTACAGAGTGCCATAAGTCTTGGGAAGGTGAAGAGAAGCAACCCCTGAATCAGGTAGTCCCCTGTGAGGGAGGGGCAAGGCCCAGAAGGCGAAGGAGAGCCGCATGGGGACGACGAGGGAGGGCCTTGGTGAAGATGTCTGCAAGGTTGGCTGAAGAGTCAATCTTGCGCACGGTGAGGTGTCCAGCCTGGACGAGCTCACGAACGAAGTGGTGTCGGAGCTCGATGTGTTTGGAGCGACTATGGAAAACGGCTTCCTTTGTGAGGTGGATAGTACTGGCATTGTCGCACCAGATGGTGGGACAGGGCTGGGGAGCATCCAGCTCAGCGAGGAGGAAGCTGAGCCACCGCGCCTCCTGGGCCGCCATGGTGACGGCGTAGAGCTCTGCTTCGCAGGAGGAGAGAGCGATCGAGGAGGAGCGGGTGGAGCGCCAGGAAATGAGGCCGCTCCCGAGGGAGAAACCATACCCCTGTGAGCTGCGACGATCGGGCTGAGAATCCGCCCAAGAGGAGTCGCTATAGCCAGTGAGCTGAGGAGGGGTGGGGCCACCCAAGGTGAGGACATAGTCCTTGGTGCCTTTGATGTAGCGGAGAACGCGCTTGGCCGCTTGCCAGTGCTCGGGAGTGTGTTTGCCAGCGCCGACAAAGCGCGCCAGGACACTGATAGGGTAGGCGAGGTCGGGGTGAGTGCACATCATGGCGTACATCAGGGACCCGACCAGCTCAGCGTAAGGACTGGTGGAGGAATCGTGGGTGGATGTCGGCGAGAGCTGGTGGCTGACTTGGAGGGGTGTGGAGACGGGTTTGGCCGTGGCCATCTCGAAGCGTTCAAGGACCTTCTCGAGGTAGAATGCCTGAGAGAGGGAGATGGTCCTGGCCGCACGATCGCGAGAAATCTCCATCCCGAGGTAGTTGCGGACCTCCCCCAGGTCCTTGCAGAGGAGGCGCTTCTGCAGCTCATCCTTGACCTGTTGTAGGTCTGCTTCGTTGTCAGCGGCAAGGCAAGAAGCATGTCGTCGACGTAGACGAGGATGTAGAAGGGGGAGGGGGAGGTGCGCAGGAAGAGGCAGGAGGAAGACTGGGAAGGGCGAAAACCAAGAGCACGGAGAGTGCTCGAGAGCTTGGCATGCCATTCCCAAGGAGCTTGCTTGAGGCCGTAGACCGGGCGGCGAAGTTCCCAAACGGTGTTAGGAGGAAAAGGGAGGTGCCAGCCCTCGGGACGCTCCATGAAGATGCGCTCATGGAGTTCACCTTGGAGAAATGCCGTGGTGACATCCATCGAGTGCAGGATCATGCCGCGCTGGCCGACGAAGTCCAAGAACACGCGGATGACAGGGGGAGTGGCGGTCGGCGAGTAGGTGTCAAGGAAGTCATGGCCGTACCGCTGCGTGAATCCTTTGGCGCAGTAGCGGGCCTTATAGATCGGGTCGTCGCCAGGGAGGAGCTTGACCCGAAATACCCATTTGCCCTTGACCACGTTGTGGTTGAGAGGCGGGGTACGTCGATGAAGGTGCCGTTGCGGACAAAGGCCTCATTCTCTTTGAGGACTGCCTTGCCCCAATGAGGGTGGTCGGGGCATGTCATAGCTTCGTGATAATCTCCCGGCTCGAAGATGATGGGCGCGCCGGAGAAGACAAGTACCGGGGCGCCGGTCATGCTGAAGGCGACTGCTTGGGTGTTGGAGAAGAGGTGGAGGCGAAGAAATTCACCATGGGAGTCTTCGATGAGGAGGGGAGAGAAAGGAGGAGGAAGGGAGGGTGGTGTTGGAAGTCTGCTGCGCTGCTGAGGGGGGAGGCTGCGACACGGCGACTCTGTGACTCGGCTGCACGGCTGCTTGACCGGGGCAACTGCTGCGGCGGATCCTGACGCTATGGGTGCGGCGACCGGGGCAGGCACTGGTGCGGCGGCGGGAGCTGCTGCGGCGGGTGCGGAGGTGGAAGCAGAGGGTGCTGGAGCGGGTGCCTTTGCCTGAGGGGAGGGAGGGGCTAAGGGCGGACCAAAGAGGGGATCCATGGACCGAGTATGAGGGCGGTGGCGAAGGACAAGGGGAGAAGACACCTGGGGGGGTGGAGGAGGAGGTGGGGGAGATGGGGGAGGAGGGGGGGAAGGAGGTGGAGGGGGAGGAGGTGGGGAGAAGGGGGAGGATGGAGCGGAAGCGGAGTGAGAGGGAGAGGGGGGGAGTAATGGGTCAAGGATGTCACCTGAGGAAGATGAGGAGGGAGCAGATTCGGGAGGAGGAGGTGCTGGGGTGGGGAATAAGAGGGAGAGGGGGAGGAGGGGGGGGTGACAGTGTCAGAGGGGATGAGGGGCGAGGAGGAATGGTGAGTGGGTCAGGTGAGGCAGGAGAGGTGTAGTACGGGGAGGATTCGTCAAAGATGACGTCCCGACTACGAATGAGGCGACCTGAGGGGGATGAAGGAACAGGTAGTCAGGGGAGGAGGTGTTGTGACCAAGGAATACACAGGGTAGACTCTTGGAGGCGAGCTTCCCTGCTGTGCGTGAGCAGTCGGCTGGGTGTATGAGAACATACGCCCTGGAACCCCAGACTCGCAGGGGGGAGACGTCGGGTTTAGTTGACGTCCACAGCTCGGTGGGGATGGTGGAGGGGAGGAGAGGGTGGGGATACAGGTTAGTGAGGAGGACGGCGTGGAGAAGAGCATAACCCCAGAGAGAAGGCGGGCAAGAGGCGTGAACGAGAAGACACCTGGCGGTCTTTGTAACTTCTCGAACACAAGCTTCTGCCACGCCATTCTGCTGAGGGGAGTGAGGGAGGGTGTAAGTGTGGTGAATACCATGGGTGGAGAAATAGAAAGAGAGATGGTGATTGAGGAATTCACCGCCGCCATCGGAATGGAAGCGTCGAATGGGACGACCGAAGTGGGTGCGCACCTGCTCGGCCCAGGCGATGATGAAGGCCGGTGCCTCGGCCTTCGTGCGAAGGAGGGAGACCGAGATGTATCGTGAGCGGTCATGGACCAGGACGAGGAGGTAGCGGTGCCCTTAACGGGTGGGGGAGGGGTTGGGGCCCCAGAGATCCATGTGGACAAGATCCAGGAGCTTTGGGGCGCAAGAAGGGTGACTTTTATGAGGAAGCTGCTTGAGCTTGCTCTGGACACAGATGGTGCAAGGGGGGGCGGGGGAGGGAGGGAGTGGAGGGAGAGTGAGGGGAAGGCCATTGAGGAGCCCGGAGGCGACGGCCTTGTGAAGGGTGGCAAAGTTGGGGTGACCTAGGCGGTGGTGGAGGAGGATGGCAGGATGTGTAAGATCACGACAATGGCACTGAGATGGGGGGGGAGCAGGAGGGGCGGGAGGGGAGGTGGGGGGAGGTTGCGGAAGAAAGAGAGGAGGGGGGAGGGGAGGGATGGTTGAGGCAGTGTGACAGGCTGACGGACGGGGAGTGTGAAGGGTGTACATGCGAGTGCGAGGACACATGGGAACACGGACGATGAAATGACCCGTGGATGAGTGGAAGAGGTCACAGTGGGTGGCGTGGCCGGGGTAGATTGTTGTGACCCCGGCCCGTTGAAGTGCACCTTGGGAGACAAGGTTAGTGCGAAGGGAGGGGACATGGAAGCCAGTTACTGAACCTGAGGGGAAGAGGGGGCAGGGAAGAGTGGAGGTATGGCGGGAGGTGACCAAGAAAGTAGAATCGGCTCCAATGATGGTGGAGGGGTTAGGGAGGGGGGTGAGGGCACCAGCGTCACGAAGGACTGCGACACTGGCGCCGCTGTCAATGACAAACTCAATGGAAGGAGGGGTGGGGTGAGACACGGAGTACTGGAATGAGGTTTCATTAATAGATTCGGGATAGATTGGAGGAATAGCAGGAGAAGCATGGCTAACATGGTTGATGAAGCCAGGAGAGGGAAATGGGGTAAAGCCAGGAGGTCCGGTGGGGGCCTGCGCAAGAGGAGCAGGAGCAGAGAGGCCGGAGCTCTAGGCGGAGGGAGGGGAGGGTTGCTGCTGAGACTGCTAGTGCTGCTGAGATTGTTGCAGCTGCTGGAGGAGCTGCTGCAGGAGCTGCTGCGGCTGCTGCTGGGACTGCTGCGGCTGCTGAGTCTGCTGCGGCTGCGGGGACGGAAGGAGGGGCGTGACCTGCTGGAGGATCTGTGGAGGGAGGTGCTGTGCGAGGATGTGGTGGAGAGAGGTAGAGGAGGGCTGATAGGCGAGGAGGGTACGAACATCAAAGGGAGTGGGAGGTGGAGTGATAGCGGACCAGCGAGGGGGCGTGCCCGTGTTGCCTCGATCAAGCCACTCATCAGTGAGGGCCTTGAAACATGTGGTGGTGGCATGGGTGGTTTGGAGGCAGCGCTTACCCTTGTTGGGGACGTTGCGGATGAGATACTGACATGGGGAGAAGGCGCCGGTGCTGTTGGAACCACTGCTACCCCCGCGTCCTCCACTGCGCCCCCCGCCACGTCCACCACCCGATCGTCCCGCCGAAGTACCGCCACGGCCAGCACCACGTCCTCCTTTTGCTTGGGCAGCATGAGCCGTTGGAGGAGGCTGGCGGAGAAGCTCCGCTTCAGTTTTCAGAATCCATGCGGCTACATAGGCGGAGTCGGGTGGGAAGCTGGCGTGAACCTCATTGAACGCCACGCGACGGGCCTCGTACATGGGTGTGAGACCGTCGAGGAGGCGGCAAACAATGAGGGAGTCGGGAAGGGGAGAGCGACGATCGGCAAGGCGTTTGGCAGTGGTGAGGAGGCGGCGCGTGAAGGAGAGGGCGTTGGGGCAGGAGTCGAGGTTGATGTCGAGGAAGGCGCGGTGGAGCGCTAGGAGAGAGTTGGTGTCCTGGAGGTCATAGGTGGCACATAGCTTTTTCCAGAACTCGGGAGCGGAGGAGGGGGTCATTTCGCGTTTGAGGGAGGAAGGAACGCATGCAGACAGGATAGCGAGACATTTGCGGTTGGCAATGTTCCAGGCAGAGTGGCGACGACGGTACTCACGAAAGTCATCAGCGTACTTAGCCGTGGCGTCCCTGTGTTGCTGGAGAAGTGTGTTGGCAGCGTCGTGCGCAGCTTGCTCTGCGTCATACGCGTGCTGGAGGAGAGTGTACTCCGCAAAGTCCTTGTCATACTGGTGCTGCACGCGAGCCCATCGATCAGGGTCATCGGTGTAGACCAGTGGGGAGGGCTTGGTGGGGGCCGGTCCCGAGGGGGTGGAGGTGGGGCGGTAGGTGCAGGGGGGGGGGGGGGGGTGCGGCTGCTGCTGTTGGTGGGGAAGGAGGAGAGGAAGGGAGGGAGGAAGGGGGGAGGAGGAGAGGAAGGGAGGGAGGAAGGGGGGAGGAGGAGAGGAAGGGAGGGAGGAAGGGGGGGGGGAGGAGGAAAAAGGCGGGTGCGCGGAGCGCAGCTCTTAAGTCGCCGTCGGTTGGCGCCGACGCGAAAGGCGACGGCCAGCGCGGATGGCGACGATCGGCAGCTGTGGGCAGTTGTGTGCGGTGCACGCCGGCACAGAGGTCAGCCCGGCCGAATCCCGCTTGTTAGGCGGGGGCGCCGGGACAGCACAAAGGGGGAGGAGGCGACGGAGTGTCGAAATATGGCGGGAGGGCCGCGTCAAGATGGTGCGGGAGCGCCGCGTCAAATCGCGGCGGAACGTCACGCCGAAATGCGACCGAGTGCCCGCATCGAAATGCGGCCGAGCGCCGCGTCGAGATGCGGCCGAGCGCCGCGTCGAGATGCGGTCGAGCGCCGCGTCGAGATGCGGCCGAGTGCCGCGTCGCAATGCAGCCGAGCGCCGCGTCGCAATGCGGCAGGAGCGCCGCGTCGAAATGCGGCAAGAGCGCCGCGCGAAAATGTAGCGACTAAGGGCGCGAGGAGAGGCGCTTAAGGGCGCGGGGAGGGGCGCTTATGGGCGCGGGGAGGGGCGCTTATGGGCGCGGGGAGGGGCGCTTATGGGCGCGGGGAGGGGCGCTTATGGGCGCGGGGAGGGGCGCTTATGGGCGCGGGAAGGGGCGCTTAAAGGCGCGGAGAGGGCGCTTAAGGGCGCGGGGAGGGGCGCGTTGGGCGCGAGGTGGCTAGGGATCGAACCACGGAGAGGCGTGAGCCATAAGCTCTGAAACCATGTGAGAAACTCAAGTGATGATTGTATTAGGAAAAGAGTGGGTATACATAGGTGAGAAGTAGGAGGGAGGGGGGGGTTTTGGTTGGGAGGTGACCACGATTATTGGTGACCCCAATAAGTTGAGTTGGCCAACTTATTGGGGGTCCAATGATCCTAGCCAAGATTATTGGTGGGTCCAGTAATCTTGGTTGGGATTATTGGGGGTTCCAATAATTGGGAGCCCAACCAACTTGGGAACTCAACAAGGTTGGGAACCCAACCCCCAACTTGGGTGTATACACCCTAGTGGGGTGCTTATAAGTACCTAAGACAATGAAACGATGTAGGCTAATAGAATGAAGGGAGAATATTCTAACAGACAGGGGAGTCTAGTTACAGACCAGGGGAAGACAGGGGAGTCTAGTTACAGACCAGGGGACGACAGGTGAGCCGAGTGAGCCCAAGATCATAGTGGAGTTCAAGGGGACCACAAGGGCCGTCAATTATGTGAATTCAAACTGGTTATCTTCTGGAATAGGCAAAATTTATTGCCGCTTTCTTCTTTCAGATTCTCTGGTCCCCCTCTCCATACAACCCCCCCCCCCCCCTCCCCCCCTCGTTTCTCCTCTTCCCTCCCATTTTACTCTTGCTCTCCTACCATCTCAGCCCTCTTTGTCCTCACCCCCCTTCCACTCGGTTATCGAGCCTCCGATTTTCCCCGCACCATCCTTCGCCCTGTCTGCATCCTCTCTCCTCCCTCCTCGTCAGGGCCGCCATCAAATACGCCCACAAGGGGCTGAAGCTGAAGCCCATGGACATCGAGCTCAATTACGCGGAAGCTTCCTCGCTGCATGCAGTTGGGGACTACCGTGCTGCTGTAAGATGCTCCTTTTGAGTAAAATGCTCCTCGATTCCCATGACTCAGCAGCCACCTCGTTCCTCTGTGAGACGCTCCTTGATCCCATGTCAGGCATAGCGGTGCCTTCTGACTCAAGGACGTGCAGAGATTATTGCTGTTCCGTCAGCTCATCTCCCACACTCCCCTTTCTTCCTCCCACTGTATCCATCCGCGCTATTGGACGTGCAGATATCTCAGTACAGCCTTATTCTAACGCTGCCTTCTCAAGCGGCCACCGAGTATGCGCAGGTCCAGCAGTCCCTCGCCTTCTACCAGGTAAGCCCCTCATCTGGAATTTCGTTCTTGTGCCAGTGGTCCATCGCTCTTCCTTCCCTCCCTCCCTCCCTCAATTCCTCTAACCCTCCCCCCCTGTCTCTTCCCGTACATCCTTTCATATCTCTCCCAACTCTCTCCCACCACACCATGCATGTGCTGCAGAGGGACATCGCCACTTACACATGGTCCAAACTCAGCCGCCCTTTCGATGATTTCCAAATTGACCGAGACCTTGACGTCAGTCTCAAGGTAACGTCCTTAAATGCCCTTTATTTTGATTCCCAGTTGCTTGACTGCTACTTTGATGTTCTTGTCTCCCATTCTCATCCTTTCCTCCCCTTCCCTAACGGCATTCCATCTCCCTTTTCCCCTCCTCCCTCCTCATTCCTTCTCTCTCTTCTACCCTTCTTTCCCCCACCGTTGACAGGAGGCATGGATTCGACGGCTTCCGCCTGCAGTGCTTCCCCCCACCTACCGCCCCCTTGACCTCCCACCAGGCGCCAAGGGCAAGGGCAAATCCCCTGCCCTGCCGTCACTATCTGAGGAGGCTCTGGATCTAATAGCAAGGGCGGATGAGATTGGGAGGAGGGCGCATTACTTCATGGATGGGTTCATGCCAAACAAAAGACAGGTGAGGCATTGACAATTGGTCTGTTTGAGAGAGGACCAGCTGCGCTTGCCAGAGCAGATGAGATTGGGAGCACATTACTCTGGGGATGGGTTCATGCCAAACAAAAGACAGGTGAGCTGGTATTTTTGGGTCCCTTTGAACAGGCTTGTCTCCTGCTCCAGGTTGGATGAATGAAGAGGGGAACATAGGCTGAATGGCAATTCAAAAGAGAGAAGTGGCTTGTGCACATTGTCATGTCAACACTCATTCCTCCCTTCCTCACCGTCGTCTGCCCCGTCTCCTCCTGCAGTTTCGCATGGCAGGGCTGGCGGCTTTGGATGTGATGCAGCAGGTGAGATAGTCAAAGGTAGCGACCATCCGTTTTTGCATCAGGAGAATAGTATTTTCAGTCAGAAGTGTTTTCAATCAGAAGCTAGCTTCGGATACATGCCCTGTTCATGCAGACAAGGTAAGCTGGCAGATACTTCGTCTCTGACTGGTCTTCCTCTTACATACATATGGATGGTGCATGCCTCTACCTGTGCTGCCGCTACCTGTGCTGTAACAGGTTAGAGCAACGTGGGAGGGCATGGCACGAAAAGAAGAAGCAGCAGGGGTGGAGGAAGCGGGCAAAAACGTGGCAGGAGGAACGGATGAGAGTGGGGAAGAGGGGCGAAGGGATGAGGAAGATGAATCCGAAGCAAACACGGGATTGGCGCAATCCAGACCAAGGGCGAGCAAGAGGGGGAGGCGGAGACGAAGGGCGTTCGCTGACTCATTCTACAAGCTGACGAGAGCAGAGGGCAGCAAGGGGGAGAAGGGCGCACAGGGCGGACTCAAGGGGCGTTCAGACAAGAAGGGGGGCGGGCGGCTGATGGCAGGCTGGAGGGACATGTTCAATCTGATCGTGCCGTGGAGGCAGATGGGCGAGCCCACGGACCTTGTGGCTTGGGTCGACCTGCTAGAGTGAGTGGTTGAGGACGCAGTGGGTGGGAAAGAAGGGTTTGGGAAAGAAGGGTTTTGGAAAAAAGGGGTCTGATCAAGTGAGAGCAGAGTGGTTTTTGAGTCGACTCAAAAATCACCTGAGGACGCAGTGGGTGGGAAAGAAGGGTTTTGGAATGAAGGGATCGGTTCAAGTGAGAGCAGAGTGGGCCGGCCTGACTTATGCCATGCTCTGTTGGTAAATCGTGCACGCGATGGGCTGCTGAGGGTTTAACTGCTGCCTCCACTCCTGATCTTCCCAGTTGTGCCCCTTAGCTAGAAACTAGATTGAGAGGTTCGGATCCTTTCTCTTGCTCCCTGTGCCTCGGTTTCTGTGGTGCAAGCAGGAACGAGATCGAGAGGGGGTACGGAAGCCTGACTGGCATTCAGATTGGCCAGTTGCAGAATGTCAAGTACTACCCGCTCAGAGACAGGTGAGAATCATGCCCTGAGAGAGAGGTGAGTCTTACTGGTTTTTTCCATACGCGGTTGCCATCGCCTCACACCAACGCACCCCGCTCGTTCTTCTCTCTCCCACCTGCTGCTTGTCTCCCGCCCTTGACCTGGCTCCCATGGGCCAACGCCCATCAGAACTCTGGAGGTGGTGAAGCAGCGGCTGCTGGAATCAGAGGAAGCTTCCAACGCAACGGGCATGACTCTGAGCTCCAAGAGCGTGCATGGCCTCATGGTGTGCGATGGGATGGGCGATGGTGTGCGATGGGATGGGCGATGGTGTGCGATGGGATGGGCGATGGTGTGCGATGGGATGGGCGATGGTGTGCGATGGGATGGGCGATGGTGTGCGATGGGATGGGCGATGGTGTGCGATGGGATGGGCGATGGTGTGCGATGGGATGGGCGATGGTGTGCGATGGATGGGCGATGGTGTGCGATGGGATGGGCGATGGTGTGCGATGGGATGGGCGATGGTGTGCGATGGGATGGGCGATGGTGTGCGATGGGATGGGCGATGGTGTGCGATGGGATGGGCGATGGTGTGCGATGGGATGGGCGATGGTGTGCGATGGGATGGGCGATGGTGTGCGATGGGATGGGCGATGGTGTGCGATGGGATGGGCGATGGTGTGCGATGGGATGGGCGATGGTGTGCGATGGGATGGGCGATGGTGTGCGATGGGATGGGTGATGGTATGCGATGGGATGGGCGATGGTGTGCGATGGGATGGGCGATGGTGTGCGATGGGATGGGCGATGGTGTGCGATGGGATGGGCGATGGTGTGCGATGGGATGGGCGATGGTGTGCGATGGGATGGGCGATGGTGTGCGATGGGATGGGTGATGGTGTGCAATGGGATGGGCGATGGTGTGCGATGGGATGGGCGATGGTGTGCGATGGGATGGGCGATGGTGTGCGATGGGATGGGCGATGGTGTGCGATGGGATGGGCGATGGTGTGCGATGGGATGGGTGATGGTGTGCGATGGGATGGGTGATGGTGTGCGATGGGATGGGCGATGGTGTGCGATGGTGTGCGATGGGATGGGTGATGGTGTGCGATGGGATGGGTGATGGTATGCGATGGGATGGGTGATGGTATGCGATGGGATGGGTGATGGTATGCGATGGGATGGGTGATGGTGTGCGATGGGATGGGTGATGGTGTGCGATGGGATGGGTGATGGTGTGCGATGGGATGGGTGATGGTATGCGATGGGATGGGTGATGGTATGCGATGGGATGGGTGATGGTATGCGATGGGATGGGTGATGGTGTGCGATGGGATGGGTGATGGTGTGCGATGGGATGGGTGATGGTGTGCGATGGGATGGGTGATGGTATGCGATGGGATGGGTGATGGTGTGCGATGGGATGGGCGATGGTGTGCGATGGTGTGCGATGGGATGGGTGATGGTGTGCGATGGGATGGGTGATGGTGTGCGATGGGATGGGTGATGGTATGCAATGGGATGGGCGATGGTGTGCGATGGGATGGGTGATGGTGTGCGATGGGATGGGTGATGGTGTGCGATGGGATGGGTGATGGTGTGCGATGGGATGGGTGATGGTGTGCGATGGGATGGGTGATGGTGTGCGATGGGATGGGCGATGGTGTGCGATGGTGTGCGATGGGATGGGTGATGGTGTGCGATGGGATGGGTGATGGTGTGCGATGGGATGGGTGATGGTGTGCGATGGGATGGGTGATGGTGTGCGATGGGATGGGCGATGGTGTGCGATGGTGTGCGATGGGATGGGTGATGGTGTGCGATGGGATGGGTGATGGTATGCGATGGGATGGGTGATGGTATGCGATGGGATGGGTGATGGTATGCGATGGGATGGGTGATGGTGTGCGATGGGATGGGTGATGGTGTGCGATGGGATGGGTGATGGTATGCGATGGGATGGGTGATGGTGTGCGATGGGATGGGCGATGGTGTGCGATGGTGTGCGATGGTGTGCGATGGGATGGGTGATGGTGTGCGATGGGATGGGTGATGGTGTGCGATGGGATGGGTGATGGTATGCGATGGGATGGGTGATGGTGTGCGATGGGATGGGCGATGGTGTGCGATGGTGTGCGATGGGATGGGTGATGGTGTGCGATGGGATGGGTGATGGTGTGCGATGGGATGGGTGATGGTGTGCGATGGGATGGGTGATGGTGTGCGATGGGATGGGCGATGGTGTGCGATGGGATGGGTGATGGTGTGCGATGGGATGGGTGATGGTATGTGATGGGATGGGTCATGGTGTGCGATGGGATGGGTCATGGTGTGCGATGGGATGGGTCATGGTGTGCGATGGGATGGGTGATGGTGTGCGATGGGATGGGTCATGGTACGGTCTGACCCCATGGAATGGGATGAGTCATGATCCAGGCAACACGCTCTGGCCACCTGAGCGCACTCCAAGGCCAGCTTGAGTGCCGGAGGGGGGACGAACTCTGGTAGAAAGCTTGCTCTAGGTGCTTGCGAGCTTGTTCGAGGCGCTTGCTCTAGGTGCTTGCTCGCCCGTCACCCGCTATCACCACCCGTCATCGCCCGCCACCACCCGTCACCGCCCGGCAAAACCCGTCACCTCCCGCTACCGCCCGTCTCCGCCCTTCACCTCCCATCACAGCCAACCACCTGTCACCGCCCGCATCACCCGCCACCGCCCGTCACTGCCCGTCACCACCCATCACCGCACGCCACCACCCGTCACCGCCTGTCACCACCCTTCACTGCCTGTCTCCACCCTTCACCTCCCATCACCGCCCACCGCCTGTCACCGCCCGCATCACCCACCACCGCCCGTCACTGGTCGTCACCACTCGTCACCGCCCCGCCACCACCCGTCACCGCCCGTCACCGCCTGCTACCGCCCGTCTCCGCCCTTCACCTCCCATCACCACCCACTGCCTGTCACCGCCTGCATCACCCGCCACTGCCCATCACCGCCCGCCACCGTCCGCCACTGCCCGTCACAGCCCGTCACCTCCTGCCACCGCCCACCACAGCCCGTCACCGCCCATCACCACCCGCCACAGCCCGTCACCGCCTGTCACCGCCCGTCACTACCCGTCACCGCCAGTCACCATCCCTCGTCTTCCCTCCCTCCACCCCTCCGCAGGGCGCATCACTGGGGGACAAGTTCCGCATTCCGAGAAACATCTACGGTGAAAGGGTGAGCCAAGAGGGGTGGGGTGAGAAGGTTTGTTGTAAGCGAGAGGAATTGATGTGCGATATGAGGTGTGAGGCAAGGGAGTGTGAAAATTGCGAATGGGTAATACAAGGACATTTACATGACGTAGTAGAGCGAGCGAGGGTTACAAGGTAGGCGAGTTGCTGGCCTTGCCTAGTTTTTTTTCTAGAGGCTTTTGTTTTTCTAGAGGTTGTCCGAATCAATTTCGCTCTCATTACTTCATTGCCTGCTCTGTGGCACCAGATTGAGCAGGCAGGGACTGTGCAGGAGCTCCATGAGGTGGTGGGCTGCGACTTCTTCATCAACTCGCAGTGCTTCAGTGAAGCCATTCCCGGGTAATGCAAAGCTAATCGCTGCTCGGGCGGCATTCCCCTCAGGCGGCATCCCCTCGGGCAGCATGCCCTCAGGCAACATCCCCTCGGACACCTTCACCTCGGGCGGCAGTCCCTCGGGCAGTGGGCAGCATGCCCTCGAGCGGCATGCCTCTTGGGCGGCATGCCCTCGGGCGGCTTGCCCTCAGGCGGCATCCCCTCGGGCGGCATCCCCTCGGGCGGCATCCCCCGGGCAGCATCCCCTCGGGCGGCATGCTCGAGGACGGCAATCCCCTCGGGCGGCATGCCCGAGGGCGGCAATCCCCTCGCGCGGCATGCCCCTTGGGCTGCATGTCCTCGGGCGGCATCCCCTTGGGCAGCATGCCCGAGGGCGGCATGCCCTCGGGCGGCATACCCTCGGGCGGCATGCCCGAGGGCGGCATCCCCTCGGGGCATGCCCTCGGACGGCATGCCCTCGGGAGGTTTCTCCTCGGACGGCATGCCTCTCGGGCGGCATGTCCTCGGGCGGCATCCCCTCAGGCAGCATGCCCTCGGGTGGCATGCCCTTGGGCGGCATGCCCTCAGGCGGCATGCCCTTGGACGGCATGTCCTCGGGCGGCATGCCCTAGGGTGGCATGCCCTCGGGCGGCATACCCTCGGGCGGCATGCCCTCGGGAGGTTTCTCCTCGGGCGGCATGTCCTCGGGCGGCATCCCCTCAGGCAGCATGCCCTCGGGCAGCATGCCCTCGGGCGGCATGCCCTTGGGCAGCATGCCCTCAGGCGGCATGCCCTTGGACGGCATGCCCTCGGGCGGCATGCCCTAGGGCGGCATGCCCTTGGGCGGCATACCCTCGGGCGGCATGCCCTCGGGCGGCATGCCATCGGGCGGCATCCCCTGGGGGCATGCCCTCAGGCAGCATGCCCTCGGGAGGTTTCTCCTCGGGCGGCATGCCCCTCGGGCGGTATGTCCTCGGCCGGCATCCCCTCAGGCAGCATGCCCTCGGGTGGCATGCCCTTGGACAGCATGCCCTCGGGCGGCATGCCCTAGGGAGGCATCCCCTCGGGGCATGCCCTCGGGAGGTTTCCCCTCGGGCGGCATGCCCTCAGGCGGCAATCCCCTCAGGCGGCATGCCCCCGGGCGGCATGTCCTCGGGCGGCATGTCCTCGGGCTGCATCCACTCGGGCAGCATCCCCTCAGGCGGCATGCCCTCGGGCGGCATGCCCTCAGGCGGCATCCCCTCGGGCGGCATGCCCCTCGGGCGGCATCCCCTCGGGCGGCATGCCCCTCGGGCGGCATCCCCTCGGCCGGCATGCCCTCGGGCAGCATCCCCTCGGCCGGCATTGGGCGGCATGCATCTCGGGCGGCATGCATCTCGTGCAGCTTGCCCTCGGCCGGCTTGCCCTCGGCCGGCATGCCCTCGGGCGGCAATGCTCTCGGGCGGCATGCCCTGGGGCAGTAATGCTGTCGGGCGGCATGCCCTCGGGCGGCAATGCTCTCGGGCGGCAATCCCCTCGGGCGGCATCCCCTCGGGCGGCATGCATCTCGGGCAGTAATCCCCTCGGGCAGCATGCCTCTCGGGCAGCATGCCCTTGGGCGGCTTGCCCTCGTACGGCAATGCCGTCGGGCGGCTTGCCCTCGGACGGCAATGCCTTCGGGCGGCTTCCCCTCGGGCGGCTTTCCCTCGGGCGGCATCCCCTCCGGCGGCTTCCCCTCGGGCGGCATGCCTCTCGGGCGGCATGCCTCTCGGGCGGCATGCCCTCGGGCAGCAATGCTGTTGGGCAGCATCCCGTCGGGCGGCATCCCCTCGGGCGGCATGCCCTCAGGCGGCATCTCCACGGGCGGCATGCCTCTGGGCAGCAATCCACTTGGGCGGCATGCCTCTCGGGCGGCATGCCTACGGGCGGCATGCCTTCGGGCGGCATGCCCTCGGGCGGCAATCCCGTCGGGCGGCAATCCCCTCAGGCGACATGCCACTCGGGTGGCAATCCCCTCGGGCGGCATGCCTCTCGAGCGGCATGCCCTGAGGCAGCGGCATGCCGTTGGGCGGCTTGCCCTCGGGCGGCTTGCCCTCGGGCGGCTTACTCTCGGGCGGCTTGCCCTCGGGCGGCATCCCCTCGGGTGGCATGCCCTTGAGTGGCATGCCCTCGGGCGGCTTCCCCTCGGGCGGCAATCCTCTCGGGCGGCATGCCTTCAGGCAGTGGCATGCCCTCGGGCGGCTTGTCCTCAGGCGGCTTCCCCTCGGGCTGCATGCCCTCGGGCGGCAATGCCGTCGGGTGGCATGCCCTCGGGCAGCTTTCCCTCGGGCGGCAAGGCCGTCGGGTGGCATGCCCTCAGGCGGCTTCCCCTCTGGCGGCTTCCCCTCGAGCAGCATCCCCTCGGGCGGCTTCCCCTCAGCCGGCATGCCCTCGGGCGGCTTCCCCTAGGGCGGCATCCCTTTGAGAGTCTTGCCCGAGGGCGGCATCCCCTCAGGCCATAAGTGTGTTTACTTTCTGAGAAATATCTTCATATCCCCCTATATTTCGTTGCTTCGATTTCCTTCAAAATGTCTCTTGTGTCCTTATCAGCAGATCGATATCTATAATGCTGCAGAACAAGTCCCTCTCCTCTCCTCCCACTTGTCATCCCCTCTCTCGCTCCCTCTTCTCTCTGTCTCCCTCTCCTCCCCTGCTCATATTCTCTTCTCTGCCTGGGTTCTGCACTTTTCTGTGTTTCAGCAAGGCTCTTCTTGGGACGGAGTTCTCCATTGTGTCATCGTGAGTGGTCCTCTACTTCTGTCGCCCTGCTGCATCCTCTGCCTCTACAATTGCCAGGAAGGGTTGGTCTACCTGCGAACACATGGCATGTGCATTGCCTGCTGTGTTCGCTCTCTCTGATTTTGCAGGGTGTTTTTGAGAATTCTCAAAAACACCCTGCCTCTAAAATTGCCAGGAAGGGTTGGTCTACCTGCGAACACATGGCATGTGCATTGCCTGCTGTGTTCGCTCTCTCTGATTTTGCAGGGTGTTTTTGAGAATTCTCAAAAACACCCTGCCTCTACAATTGCCAGGAAGGGTTGGTCTACCTGCGAACACATGGCATGTGCATTGCCTGCTGTGTTCGCTCTCTCTGCCTGCCAACAGACAAGCTGCTCCATCTTCCCTGCATCCGCTAGCCCCACCACTCCCCCCTCCCCCCCCCGGCTCTCCCCCCCCTTCCTGTATTTCTCTCCCTCCCTCTCGCACCCTCCGGTTCCTCTCAGCGCTCGGTCGTTTGACTTCGTCATTCGCACTACAGTGGACAAGCACCGTTGGAAGGACCTGGATTTGGAGTTAACAGCAGCATGGGAGGTGAGTGGACAGTCAGGGAGGTGCCAAGCCATGAAATGAGATGAGTGCAACTGCATTGGCGTGTCACCAGAGATTCTCTGGTGCATTCCTCCCCTTACCATTCCACCCCAGGGTGTTAGTCCGTGTGTGCATCAATGTTGCACAGGTGCACACAGGGCTCCCACACTCTCTGCATGCATTTCTTTCCCTCGGTCCAGTTTTGAGGCGCCTCAAAACTAGACTTCTTTCCCCCGGTCCTCCCTTCCTTGAGACGTCAGGCCCTGTGTGAGTCAGTGCTGGACGCACGGACAGAGGCAGCAGATCCTCACCTCTACCGCCAGAGGATTCAGCGCTCCATCCTCAGGCTGGGGTACTTCTGGTCAGTGGCCCGACACCCCCTTTTGCTGATGCCGGTGGCTACTAGTGCCTGCATGTCTCTGATGCACTTTAGCCTTCCTTTCCAAGGATGTACAGCTTGAGCCATTCAGCACCCTGAGCTTATGCATTGGATTGTGGTGTCTTTTCTGCATGATGTTGATTTGTGTGCTGCACCTGTACCTGCAGGTATCAGTTCATGCCTCTCACTAGAGGCTCAGCAATGGTGGGGCTGATCTCCATCCTGGGTCTGTCCCTGGCTGCTGACATGGAGACCACCGCTCTCATCCCTGAGGGGGTTCAGGTGGGTTAACACATGCCTGTGCGCGTATCCGTGCAGCTCCCAACCCAAGTCTTCTATGTCTGTGTCTCGGTGTGATATTCGTGAGGCTTGCCACGTTTGCAACAATCGAAGGGATTGAACTGGCGTCTTATGTTTCTTCCCGTTGTATTCATATTTGCTTACAATGTGTGTTACAGGTTGATTGGGAAGCGTTGCTCTCTCCTACATTTGCAAAGTTTAATGATTCTGTGGCGCCGTGGCTATACGAGCATGTAAAGCCTGCACCTTGGGACTTGCCTCGTGTGCGTGACGCACTTCCCACAACGCATCATGTTGTCAGTGCACTCAGCCAGGGATATTGATTGCCAGATCTACTGATAGAATTTCAAGCGTGTGTAACTTTCAGACTCCCAAAACTGGAAAATGCGTGTTGGCTATAAGCTACCAGAAAAATGTAAGTGGGTGAGACCAGCATCCAAAATGTTCCCAATTACTGCTTTCGAGTTTCTGTACAACGCGATTTTTCCGACTGCGCGACAAGGCTGACTTTGTCGGTACTCCCAGGACCGCACCCACGATTCACTCGTCTTTCCGTTGGCTGGACTGCAGTTCCCCACTTTGCTTCGCCTCATCGGTCCAGTCGTGCAGCAGCCGAATGGGATGCAGGCTAGAATGAGATCGTCGTCGCAGCATACAGTCGCAGCAGACCTAGTCGCGGACTTCGTTTCAGCAGACCGTCTTAGTCGCAGGACTGAGTCGCAACAGACTTGATCACGAGACTTCAGGAGTTAGCCAGTGTACTTCGTCGCAAGGCTTAGCGCTAAAGTCGTCGAATCGCGTCGAATCGAAAGCCCGTGAAGCTCTTATCCAATTTCGCCAGTCACGATTCTCGGCTAACGATTTCGGGAGCTCGTCGAGCGCGACTCACCTCATCCGCGCATCGATCTGCCCCAATGCGGTCCTCCTCTCGCCTCCCGTCACCCGTCGCCGCTTTTTGACGGTCTCTAGGCGCTGGATAAGACTGCGACACGCTTACTGAGTGCTTAGGCTCCTAGACGGCGCTCCGCGATGGCGCCTTCGCTTCGTGCGATTCGTGCGACGTTCGTGTGCCTGTCGCTGAACCTGACCCTGTGCAATGTCTTCAACGGGCGCCACTATACCGCACCGACCCTCCCTCCCCCCGCGAGTAGCAACATTGCGAATGCGAACAGCAGGGAGGGGGAATCCGCAGCGTCAGCGGGGTTCGTGCTGCCGAGCTCGGCGCGCAGCTGCGATGAGGACGAGATGATCAATGGAGCGAAGGGGTTGCTACCCTCGTTACAGGAACTCACATGGTGCGCTTTTCTCCTGAGGTTCCCTTTGCTTCTATTGGCGCTGTCCTGGTTCCGCTCGTCAGCGCCTCTTGATATCCCCCCCTGCACTCTTTCCTCCCCCCCCCCCCCTCCCTCCCCCCTGCACTCATCTCCCCATTTCCCTTCCCCCTGCACCCCTTGTTTTTTATAATTCCCAGAAAGCCTCCCCCTGCACTCCTTCCCCATTTACCCTTCCCCATTTACCCTTCCCCATTTCCCCTGTTCTGTCTCCCTTGTTGTCTGGTTGACATGTCATCGTGATGTCATCACCCCATTATGCCATACCACCATCTCGTCATGCCACGTCATGTTCAGGAGTCCCCATCTATGTGATTGGGAAACGCACCTGATCGCATCAGTGCCGAATCAGAGGAGCAAAGCACGCCGCCACCTCCAACGCGTGGGCATCCGCACGTGCCTTCTCCCACTCATTAGAAAAGGTACGTCACCACCTCCCCACCCCAGTCCCCTCCCTCTCCCATCACCCAAACCCCAACCCCTCACAATCTCCCTATCCCCCCTCCTCTCCCCCACCTCCCTTCCCCCCAATAGGAACCAGGCTGTTCAAGCTCCTCCCTCCGCCTTCCCCCCTTGCTCCTCTTCCCTCCCCCTGCGATCCCCCGTCCCCTGGGCGAGGGGGGAAGCTGCTGCTGGGGGGAACCGACCTTTGCGCGTTGATGCACCTGGACGGGGGAAGTAAGGGGTGGGGAGGCGGTGGGGGGGGCGGAGCAGGGGAGAGAAGGGGGGGGCGCAGAGGAGTGGTGGGAGACTCGCAGACAATGACTGAGAAAAAGGGAGGACAGGCAGGGGCTGAGGGAAGGGATGCGGTGGGAAAAGGGTTGTCTGCAGCAGTAGCAGGTAGAAAAGCAGCAGAATCTGTTTGGGAGGCGGGTAATGGGGAGGGTGCCAATGCTGGCTTAAAGAAGGGGGTGAGTCAAGAGACGGGGAAAGGGAGGCGAAAGGAAGAGAGCAGGGGAGGAGATAGCAACCGACAGGGACAAGGAGAGAGCAGGCGGAACAAGGAGGAGGAGGAGGAAGAGGAGAGGAGCAAATCTCTGAGGAAAGGGAGATCGTTGGGGCAGAGGGAGCAGGAGGAGGCAGGGGAGCAGAGGGGAACAGGGGAGCAGAAGATGCAGAGTATGAGAAAGAGAGAGCATGGGGATGATGATGGCGTGAAGGGTGGTGATGGAGGTGATGGGGCTGATGAGGCTGATGGGGCTGAGGGGGTTGGAGGCAGGGCGGGGGAGAAGAAGAGCAAGGAAAAGAGGGGAGGGCGCGAGAAGGAGAAGCAAGGGGGGCATATGAACAAGGAGATGCTGATTCGAGCAGCCATCAGCCAGGTGAGTGCAACAATCGACCAGGTGAATGCCACAGCGTGCCATCCTGCATTGCTGTGCATCCCATTCTCTGCCGCATGCATTTACATCCTTTTACATCCCCTCTCACTCCTCACCAATCCACCGTACAATCATCTCTTCCCCCATCTCCTCCCCCATCTCCACCACCCTCTCGTTCGCTCAGATGCAAGCCAAGAAGTTCAACGACGCCATCAAGCTCTTCAACCTCGTACGTACTGCTACAAACAAGGGTATTGTTTCCCAGACAGCTCCTCCATGCCATTCCTTATCCATTATCTTCCGCCATCTCTTCCTCATCAAGCTCTTCAACCTCGTACGTACGGCTAAAAGTGGTTTCGTTTCACTTACATGTACCCCCCTTCTCGTGCCGCAGCCCCTCCGCCTCCCGTATCTTCCCCCCTTCTCTTCCTCCCCTTCACCTCCCCCCTCTCCACGCTCGTCTCTTCTCGCTTCCCTTTCGTCCCTCACCTTATCCCTGCTCCGAGGCTTCACTACATTCACTTCTCCCTTGCGCCTCCACAGTTAGAAGAAGGAGGCGATGTGTCGAATCAGCTGTTTATTGAAAGGGGTTCTCGATTCACATCACCTTCCACCCTCCCCTTTCTAAGTCTCTCCCTTCGCTCTCCCCCCACTCACAGGTGGAAGCGGAAGGGGGTGAGATGTCGGACCAGCTGTTCATAGGCAGGGGCCTCTGCCACCTGTTCCTGCGCCAGCTGGACGACGCGGAGGATGACTTTACAGAGGTGGGTCAGCTGCCTTCTGGGGTGGTGAGACTTCACGAGTGGTGCATGTAGGTCACATCACGTGGTCGGTCGAAAGATCAAGGTGCCCTCTGCCACCTGTTCCTGCGCCAGCTGGACGATGCAGAGGACGGCTTCACTGAGGTTGGTCAGCTGTGGGGTGGTCGTATGGTGCAATAAACCGTGACCCATGGGCCATGGCATGTCACGGACGGTGCAGAGGACGACTCCACTGAGGTCAGATGAGGGGTGGTGAGGAGAGGAGCACATTTTAGGTCACATCGCGTGGTCACATCGCGTGGTCGGTCGGAAGCTCAAGGTACCCGGCGACTTTGGGGCTGGCTTTTGAGTCTACTCAAAACTCCTCTCACCCCTCAGACCCCTCTCCTCCTCTTCCTCTTTTCTCACCTCTCCATCTCCCTGCCGCTTCCTCAGTTCATCCGATGTCCAGCACTTTCCTGTGGGATGGCAGAGTTGACAGGTCGACTCAAAACCCCTCCTTCCCATCATAACCCCATACATACACCTCTCCCTCACCCTCTCCATCCCCGGCTGCTCCCACAGGGCATTCGGCGCTACCCTCAGAGTGCCGAGCTGTACAGACGCAGGGCAGTGCTGTACATTGAGAGGAACGAGAGGGAGGCGGTGAGTTCTCTTCTCTGCGTGTGCATGCCTGTGGCTTCCCTAAAAGTGCCGAGCTGTACAGGTGCAGAGCGGTGCTGTACATCGAGAGGAAGGAGAGGAAGTCAGTGAGTTTGTACTGGGTCCTCCGTATGTTTGGCCGTTCGTATGTTTGGCCATTCGCATGTTTGGCCGCTTGTATGTTTGGCCGTTCGTATGTTAGGCCATTCGTATGTTTGGCCGTTCGTATGTTTGGCCGTTCGTATGTTTGGCCGTTCGTATGTTTGGACGTTCGTATGTTTGGCCGCTCGTATGTTTGGCCGTTCGTATGTTTGGCCGTTCGTATGTTAGGCCGTTCGTATGTTTGGCCGTTCGTATGTTTGGCCATCCACCGCCCACCGGTGGACGCCGTCCACCGTCCACCGTCCACCGCCCGCCGCCCACCGGTGGATGCCATCCACCGTCCACCATCCACCGTCCACCACCACCCACCGGTGGACGCCGTCCACCATCCACTGCCCACCGTCCACCGTCCACCGCCCGCTGCCCACCGGTGGACACCGTCCTCCGTCCATCGCCCACCGGTGGACGCCGCCCACCGTCCACCGTCGGCCGCCCACCGCCCACTGGTGGACGCCGTCCACCGTCCACTGTCCACCGTCCACCGCCCACCGGTGGACGCCGTCCACCGTCCACCGACCACCGTCCACCGTCCACCTGTGGACGGCGTCCACCATCCACCGCCCACCGGTTGACGCCGTCCACCGCCCACCAGTGGACGCGGTCTACCGTCCACCGCCCACCGGTGGACGCCGTCCACCGTCCACCGCCCACCGCCCACCGCCCACCAGTGGACGCCATCCACTGTCCACCGCCCACCGGTTGACGCCGTCCACCGTCCACCGCCCACCAGTGGACGCCATCCACCGTCCACCGCCCACTGCCCACCAGTGGACGCCGTCCACCGTCCACCGTCCACCGCCCACCGCCCACAGCCCACCGGTGGACGCTGTCCACCGACCACCGCCCACCGGTGGACGCCGTCCACCGCCCACCGGTGGACGCTGCCCACCGTCCACCATCCACCGTCCACCGCCCACCGGTGGACGCCGTCCACCATCCACCGCCCACCACCCACCAATGGAAGCTGTCCACCGTCCACCGCCCACCGCCAACTGGTGGACGCCGTCCACCGCCCACCGTCCACCATCCACCGTCCACAGTCCACCACCCACCAGTGGACGCCGGTGTTAGCCCCTTCGTATGTTAGCCCCTTCGTATATTAGCCCCTTCGTATTTGAGGCCCTTAGTAACGGCGATGGATCAGCATGAGGTAGGGCTAGACGTTTAGTAATTTCTCCTCCAGTTAAGATAAAAGAACCCATAGAAGCTGCTAGGCCCATACAGATAGTATGCACATCTGGTACTACAAATTGCATAGCATCATATACTGCAATTCCAGCCAAGACTGCTCCACCAGGAGAATTGATGTACATAAACATATCCTTACTTTCATCTTCTCCATTCAAATACATCATAATACCAATCAATTGATTAGCAATCTCATCATCTACATTCTGACCTAAAAAAAGTAATCTTTCACGATACAATCGATTATACACGTCTACCCAAACTGCCTCTTCTTCTCCAGGAAGACGAAAAGGGACCCTTGGAACACCAATAGGCATAATGTTAATTTAGTAATTAAATTGTATATACTCCCCTATATACACTATAGTACTATAGTGTCGTTAATTAGATGTTACATATTGCAATATGTTTTTTGTGTAAGATATAGAAATGTTTTTTCATTTAGAAAAAAACAATTTTTTTTTTCAAAAATTCCACAAACATTTGAACAAAAGCTTTTTGTCTACTTTCTATAGTATGTTTGTCTACTATACAGTATTTTTTTGTAAAAATATAGAATATTTTTTTGTAGAGATCGAACCGAGAGGCGTTTCCCTTGCTCTGTTGCTACTTTATCTATGCTAGGCAGTGGAGGACTTTAGTGTGTCGAACCCAAGGGCTCTCCCTTCCCTCTGTTGCTGCTTCATCTGTGCACGTGATGCCAGGCTGTGGAGGATTACAGTCGAGCGCTGGAGATAGAGCCCAACCACCTGGACGCCCTGCAGAATAGAGGTGAGCTCGCAGAGGCGGTGTGGCGATTTGTCGTGGGATCAGATGGCATGGCCGGCGCGGACAGGCTGGTATGGTGCGGCATGAATGCCAAGAGATTGGACTTGACATCCTGGATGCCCTGCAGCAGAGGGGCGGTGTGAGGTAACATGGCATGGCATGTCATGGCATGGCATGGCACGGTTTGTCATGGGATGAGCAGCATGGGACAGCATGCTCAGTTCTGGCTTCCTCCCCACTCCCATCCCACTATTCACTGCAGGCACGATTGCCTTCCACCTGCACTTCTACAGCATGGCCATCTCCGACCTCTCCAAGGCGCTCGAGCTGCGCCCCATGGACCCCTTCCTCATCCGCGCCAAGGTACACCCATACTCACACACACACGCAACTGCTCTTAAACTTGAGGTGAAATACGTTGACCTGTGGTGACCTGTGTTGACCTGCGTTGACCTGCGCTGGTTTGTCTTGATTTGCGTTGGCGCAGCCGTTGCAGAGTGTTACAGGAGGCAGTGATGCACCTGCTAGTACCCTGCCACCCCGTGAACGGAGAAGGGCCTTCAAGTCAACCCCAAAGCCACGCCCCCCTTCCCTTTCCCCACCAGCTCAAGGTATCGCCCTGGCAGTCTGGCCACTGCTGCAAAGCGAGCGGCATGTTTGACGATGCAGTGAAGCGGCACCCCATGTCTACCTAAATGTGGACAAGAAAGGATTCTGGAGCTGAGTGAAGCCCTGCCCCAGCCCCACCATCCCCCCCCTTTTCCCCTCCCGTTTTTTTGTTAGGGCATAGCCTTGGCGGGCTCGGGCCAGTGGCGCAATGCAAGCGCTGTGTTTGCGGAGGCGGTGAAGCGGCACCCCATGTCCGCCAACCTGTGGACGGAGAAGGGCCGCGTGCACAAGGAGCTGGGGGAGGTGGACCTCGCCCTGGCGGCATTGCACAAGGCTTTGGCTCTGGAGGAGTGAGTGCAGGTTAAGGGCTGAGTGCAGAGGGGTTGATTTGGAATGCAGAGGGGCTGAATGCACTGCGTGCACAAGGAGCTGGGGGAGGTGGACAGTGGACCTGGCCCTGGCGGCATTGCACAAGGCGCTGGCTTTGGAGGAGTGAGTGCCTCTTAGAAGATAGTACAGGGGCCAAGATTAGCATGCGCAAGGAGCTGGGGGGGGTGGACCTGGCTCTGGCCACGCTGCACAAAGCGTTGGTAGTGGAAAGAGTGAGTGCTGGCAGTGGAAGAGTGAGTGCGTGCCATAAGATAGGAGAAGGGCCGCGTGCACAAGGAGGCTGGGGGGGATGGACTGGGCTCAGCTGCGCTGCACAAAGCACTAGCACTGGAGGCGGGAGTTGAAAGGTTCAGCACCGCCTCACATCTCTCATGCAAATGGAATCAGTTACCCTCTCTGCCTTTCATACTCACACTACTTCCTGTCTCCCTTTCTTCCCCCCCCCCAGCACTCTCGAGGCATACATCCTCCTCGCCTCTTCCACTGCTTCTCCCATTCACACTCTACTTGCTGTTCACTGTACCTCCTCCCCTCCCCCCTCCTCCTCCCCCCGCGCAGCACTCTCGGTGCATACATCCAATCCGCCTCACGTCCCTCATGCAGCTAAAACTATTTTCGCTCTCTTCCCTTCCTTCTCACCTTACGCTAACACCCCTCCTGCCCCCCCCTCCCCCCTCCCTCTCCCCAGCACTCTTGAGGCGTACATACGCCTCACATCCCTCATGCAGCTGGTGGGCCGCCACAGGTGAGTCCTTGGGTAGACAGTAGACAGCAGACGGTAGACTGAAGACGGAAGACATCAGATGGGAGATGGTAGAACGGTCGCCTGTCGCCAGTCACCGGACGCCGGGCTCCGGACGCCGGTCGCCGGTGGCGGTGGACGGTGGGCCGTGGCCAGTGGGCAGTGGGAAGTGGGCGGTGGGCGATTCCGCAGCTGCAGGGTGTTTTATATGAGTCGATGGGATGATGCAGCACATAGAGGGCTTGTTGTAAGACGGCTGGTCTACATAGACGAGGTCACACCTGAGTCAGTCACGCCTGGCTCAGAAATTGATGAGCGCTGTCAATCTATTTACTGCTTTTGACCGCAGGGAGGTGATCAGCACTCCTGTTGACTCCCTTTGACACCGGTTGACCGCAGGGAGGTGATCAGCACTCCTGTTGACTCCCTTTGACCCCCGTTGACCGCAGGGAGGTGATCAGCACTCCTGTTGACTCCCTTTGACCCCCGTTGACCGCAGGGAGGTGATCAGCACTCCTGTTGACTCCCTTTGACCCCCGTTGACCACAGGGAGGTGATCAGCACTCCTGTTGACTCCTTTTGACCCCGGTTGACCACAGGGAGGTGATCAGCACTCCTGTTGACTCCCATTGACCCCGGTTGACCACAGGGAGGTGATCAGCACTCCTGTTGACTCCCGTTGACCCCCGTTGACCGCAGGGAGGTGATCAGCACTCCTGTTGACCCCCGTTGATCCCAGTTGATCGCAGGGAGGTTATCAGCACTCCTGTTGACTCCCGTTGACCCCCGTTGACTGCAGGGAGGTGATCAACACGGCGCGCAGGGGCCTGAAGCTCAGCCCCGACGACATTGAGCTCAACTACCTGGAAGCTTCTGCGCACCATGCGCTGGGCGACTTTGAGGCAGCTGTGAGTGCTCTCAGCCTTGCTGCTCAGCCCAAAGCCCGTTATCTTCAACGTGCCTTCTCAAGGTGCTTCCTCCTTGGATAATTCTCCTTCGCAAGGCACGCTTCTTGACAAAAGGTGTCATCCTATTGCTGGCTTCAGTGTTTTGTGTGATCTCTCCATCACCTTCTCACGCCTCAGTTTTTCCACCCCCCTCCCTGACCCCTGCCATTCCGCAGCTGGTCCAGTATTCCCGCATCCTTGGCTTCTCACCCACAGACAGCAACACCGGCACTCTCCAGGGCATGGCATTCTACCAGGTGCGGTACTGTGCTGTGCTGTGCTGTGCGATGTCGTGCGGTGCTGTGCTGTGCACTCTTTCTCTCACACCTGCCCTCTTGCTTTCACTCCTCCCTTTGTCCCCTCTTCCCTTGCTGACGTGTTCCACACATTGCCCTAGCTGGACCTTGCTCTCAGACCTCCTCGTCCCTTCTCTCCCCTCCTCTTCTCTTCCCTCCTCTCCCAGAAACCCCTTTGCCCCAAAACCCCTCTATGCCTCCTGAAATCTACCCCTCCTGTTATTTACCCCTCCTTTTATCTGCCTCTCCTGTTACCTACCCCTCCTGTTATCTACCTCTCCTGTTATCTACCGTTCCTGTTAAATGCCTCTCATGCCTCTCATGTTATCTGCCTCTCATGTTATCTGCCTCTCATGTTATCTGCCTCTCATGTTATCTGCCTCTCCTCGCATCATCCATCAGAGGGAGATCGCCGCCTACACGGTAGCCAAGCTGGACCTGCCCTTCACGCACTTCCGCCTCGACTACGAGCTCGACAACGACCTCAAGGTGCACTTCTAGCCCGCACAGAGAAGTACTCGCTCAGTGCCCACCCACTACTAGCGTCAAGGTATGTCTAACTGTCACTGTCACTCACTCGCAGCATTCAGATTGACCTGCCCTTCACACACTTTTGCCTGGACTACGAACTCGACAACAACCTCAAGGTGCGTTGCTTGCCCAGTGCCCACAAAAACGACAAACATTGTCACTCACTGCAGCGTTAAACTTGACCTGCCCTTCCCAGACTTCTGCCTCGACTACGAGCTGGAAAACGATCTCAAGGTGCGCTGCTTTCTTGGTGCCCGACAACTGATTGCCTCAGGTATGTGTACCGCCGTCACTCACTCGCGGTGTATGCTCGACCTGCCCTTCCCACACTTCTGCCTCAACAACGACCTCGAGGTGCACATAGACAACACATGGACAACACACAGGCACCCAAGTGCATAAACTTCTCCGCGCATAATGTTCAGGCAACACTGCCACTCAGAATGTCGCCAGGTGCACTCCTTGCCAGCACGAAGATACACACTGTCATCGACATGGAGTCTCAAGCAGAGGGGTTTCCATCCACGCAACCCTCTCCCCCCCCATCCTTCTCCATTCGCCAAAACCGTTTGCCGAACACTTCACCAAAACATTCGCCACAACCATTCGCCAAAACCATTCGCAGAACTCATTCGCCATAACCAATCGCCAAAACAATTTGCCAAAAAACTATTCGCAAAACCCATTCGCCAAAACCTTTCGCCACAACCATTAGCCATAACCATTCGCCAAAACCATCACCATAACCATTCGCCACAACCATAAGCCAAAACCATTCGCCAAAATCATTCGCCAAAACATTTCCCAAAACTATTCGTCAAATCCTTTCGCCAAACAGTTTCGCCAACACCTTGTGCAAAAATCAACCGCCAGAACCATCGCCAGAACCATTCGCCAAAACCTATTCGCTAAAAGCATTCGCCAAAACCATTCGCCAAAACCTTTCGTAAAAAACTATTCGCCAAAACCATTCGCCAAGCCCATTCGCCAGAACCTTTTGCCAAAACCAATCGCCAAAACCTTTTGCCAAAACCTTTTGCCAAATCCTTTCGTCAAAACCATTGGCCAAAACCTATTCGCCAAAACCTTTTCACCAAAACGTTTCGCCAAAACGTATTCGTCAAACCATTTGCCAAAACCATTCGCCAAACCATTCGCCAAAACCATTCGCCAAATCCATTCGCCAAATCCATTCGCCAAATCCATCCGCCAAAACCATTTGCCAAAACCTTTCGGCAAAACCTTTCGCCAGAACCATTGCACCATTACCTATTCGTCAAACCATTCGCCAAAACCTTTCGCCAAAACGTTACGTCGAAGCCATTCACCAAAGCCATTCACCAATACCTTTCACCATAACCATTCGCCAAAACCTATTCGCCAAAACCATTTGCCAAAACCATTCTCCAAAACCATTCGCCAAAACATTTCGCCAAGAACCTTCCGCCAAAACCAATCGCCCAAACCTTTCGCCAAAACCTTTCGCCAAAACCATTCGCCAAAACCTATTCGCCAAAACCATTCGCCAAAACCTTTCGCCAAGAACCTTCCGGCAAAACCAATCGCCAAAACCTTTCGCCACAACCTTTCGCCAAAACCTTTTGCTAAAACCTTTCGCCAACACCATTCGTCAAAACCTTTCGCCAAAAACATTCGCCAAACCTTTCGTCAAAACCATTTGCCAAAACCATTCGCCAAAACCTTTCGCCAAGAACCATTCTCCAGAACTATTCGCCAAAACCAATCACCAAAAGTTTTCGCCAAAACCTTTTGCCAAAACATTTCGCCAAAAACATTCTTCAAAACCATTTGCCAAAACCATTCGGCAAAACCATTTCGCCAAAACCATTTGCCAAAACCATTCACCAAAACCTTTCGCCAAAACCTTTCGCCAAAACCATTCGCCAAAACATTTTGCCAAAACCATTCGCCAAAACCTTTCGCCAAACAGTTTCGCCAAAACCTTCCGCCAAAACCAATCGCCAGAACCATTGCAGAACCATTCGCCAAAACCATTTGCCACAACCTATTCGCCAAAACCAATCGCCAAAACCATTCGCCAAAACCTACTTGCCAAACCATTCGCCAAAACCATTCGCCAAAACCTTTCACCAAAACGTTTCGCGAGAACGTTTCGCCACAACCTATTTGTCAAACCATTCGCCAAAACCGTTTGCCAGAACATTCGCCAAATCCTTTCGCCAAAACCATTCACCAAAACCATTCGCCAAAACCTATTTGCCAAACCATTCACCAAAACCATTTGCCAAATCCATTCGCCAAAACCTTTCGCCAAAACGTTTCCCCAAAACGTTTCGCCAAAACCATTCGTCAAAACCATTCGCCAAAACCATTCGCCAAATCGATATGCCAAAACCATTCGCCAAAACTATTTGTCAAAACCATTCGCCAAAACCTTTCGCCAAAACCTTTTGCCAAAACTTTTCGCCAAAACCATTGCACCAAAACCTATTCGTCAAACCATTCGCCAAAACCATTCGCCAAATCCTTTCGCCAAAACTTTTTGCCAAAACGTTTTGCAAAAGCCATTCACCAAAACCATTCGCCAAAACCTTTCACCATAAGCATTTGCCAAAACCATTCGCCAAAACCAATCGCCCAAACCTTTCGCCAAAACCTATTCGCCAAAACCATTCGCCAAAACCTTTCGCCAAAACCTTTCGCCAAGAACCTTCCGCCAAAACCAATCGCCAAAAGTTTTCGCCAAAACCTATTCCCAAAACATTTCGCCAAAACTATCTGCCAAAACCATTCACCAAAACCTTTCGCCAAAACCTTTCGCCAAAACCATTCACCAAAACCATTCGCCAAAACATTTCGCCAAAACGTTTCGCCAACACCTTCCGCCTAAATCAACCGCTAGAACCATTCGCCAAAACCTATTCGCCAAAACCATTCGCCAAAACTATTCGCCAAAACCTTTCACCAAAACGTTTCGCCAAAACATTTCGCCAAATCCTTTCTCCAAAACCTTTCGCCAGAACCATTTGCCAGAACCATTCGCCAAAACCATTCGCGAAAACCTATTCGCCAAAACCATTCGTCAGAACCATTCGCCAAAAACTTTCGCCAAAACTTTTGCCAAAACCTTTCGCCAAACCATTCGCCAAAACCTTTCACCAAAACCATTTGACAAAACCATTCGCCAAAACCTATTCGCCAGCGCCATTCGCCAAAACCATTCGTTAAAACCTTTCGCAAAAACCTTTCGCCAAAACCTTATGCAAAAACCTTTCGCCAAGAACCTTTCGCCAAAACCATTCGCCAAATCCATTCGCCAAAACTATTCGCCAAAACCATCCGCCAAAAAACCATTCGCCAAAAAACCATTCGCGAAAACCATTCGCCAATACCAATCGTCAATACCATTCGCGAAAACCATTCGCCAAAACTTTCCGTCAAAACCGTTCGGCAAAACCATTCGCCAGTGCCATTTCCGAATCCATTTGCCAAAACAAAACTTCGCCAACAGCTTCTCCCCCCAAGTGCGTGCTCTGGTCGCTTGGCAGGCATCATTTGAGGCCCCTTGCAAATCCCCTTCCCTTCCCCCACATGCACCTTCCCCCCACCAGGAAGCATGGGTGCGGAAGCAGTCGCCCCTCACCATCCTCCCCACATACCGTCCCCTCCCCGTGCGCCTCCCCCGCAACCCCCTCGAATCCGCTTCTCCCCCCAAGTGCGCGCACTTATCGCCAAGGCGGACGAAATTGGCCGGCGCACGCAGTACTTTGTGGATGGCTTCATGCCGCACAAGAGACAACACCGCATGGCGGGGCTTGCCGCCCTGGACCTCATGCAAAGAGTGAATGCCACGTGGCAGCAGATGATTGAGGAACAAAGGCGGGCGGATGGGGAAGGGGAGGGTGAAGGGGGTGGACTAGGAGCGGACGAAGCAGGGGAGAGGGGGGGGCTGATGATAGTGCGGCTGATGGCAATGATGGGGATGATGTTGCCTCTAGTGATAATACGGATATTGATAGTGAAACTGATAATGGTAGCAGCGAAAGGGGTGGGAGAGGAAGGAGAGGCAGGGGGAGGAGGGCAACTGGGAGAGGAGGACAAAGAGGAAGCAGACGAAAAACACCCAGAGTGTCACTCCATTCGTCATCAGGGGGAGCAAAGAGATCCAACGGCCGGGATAAGCCTGCCAGATCACCAGGCCGATCCGACGGTGCAAAGCTGATCAGCGGGTGGCGGGACATGTTCGATGGGATCATCCGGTGGAGGCAGCACGCGGAGCCCTGCGATACAATCACGTGGATCGACCAGCTCAAAAACGAGTACCCCAGGGGCTTCGGTACAATCACAGCCATGCGAGTAGGGCAGATGCACAACCTAAAGTACTACCCGTTTCAGGACTGGGCGTTTGAGGTCATGCGCTCGGTGCTCCTAGAGACCGAAATGGCGTCCAATGCCACCAACTGGCCACTTCCAGTGCCGCGGCGCGTGCACGGGCGGGCAATTGAGGCGGCTCGGGACTTTGGGGATCTGCACCGGTCGGTGGGGGAGAACTTCTACGTGACCACGCAGTGCTACAGCGAGGCATTCCCGGGCGCATCATGAACGGCACACAGCTCACTCTTGTGGAATCATCAGGTATGGGCACCGCCTCCTGCTGTAACCTCACTCCCCCCCCTCCTTTGTTGTTGTTGTGGCTTTTTTCTCTTTTTTTTGCCACCCTGCTTTCCCGTTTTATGCACCAGTCTAAGCATTCACCCTGCTTTCCCACTATCCTTCCTCTCCTCCCCAGGTTCCTACGACTTCACAATCCGCACAGCGGTGACGCCCGAGCGCAGCGCTGAGTTCTTCCAGGAGCTGCAGAAGACGTGGGAGGAGCTCAGTCTGGCCGCCGCGGACACGCGCACCGCGCCACCGACATACACCTGTACCGGCAGCGCGTGCGCGAGGGTGTGCTGCGCATGGGGTACTACTGGTACCAGTTCATGCCGCTCACACGGGGCTCCGCCATGGTGGGGATCATCTCCATCCTCGGGCTGTCGCTCGCTGCTGACATGGAGACCCTCTCGCTCATTCCCAAGGACACCCAGGTGTGTGAAGAAGTGCCATGGTCTGTGGGGAGGTGGCAGGGGCATGTGGTGTGTGGGGGGTGGCAGGGGCATGTGGTGTGTGGGGAAGCGGCAGGGGCATGTGGTGTGTGCAAGAAGGGTTGCTGAGGGTGGGGTACTCCTGGTACCAGTTCACGCCGCTCACTCGAGGCTCTACCATTAAGTTGATCATCTCCATCCTGGGGCTCTAATTATGTGTGTCCTCTAATTATGTGTGTCCTCTAATTATGTGTCCTCTAATTATGTGTGTCCTCTAATTATGTGTCCTCTACTTATGTGTGTCCTCTAATTATGTTATGTGTGTCCTCTAATTATGTGTCCTCTTATTATGTGTGTCCTCTAATTATGTATGTCCTCTTATTATGTGTCCTCTAATTATGTGTCCTCTAAATGTGTGTCCTCTAATTATGTGTGTCCTCTAATTATGTGTGTCCTCTAATTATGTGTGTCCTCTAATTATGTGTCCTCTAATTATGTGTCCTCTAATTATGTGTCCTCTAATTATGTGTCCTCTAATTATGTGTCCTCTACTTATGTGTGTCCTCTAATTATGTGTCCTCTAATTATGTGTGTCCTCTAATTATGTGTCCTCTAATTATGTGTGTCCTCTAATTATGTGTCCTCTAATTATGTGTGTCCTCTAATTATGTGTTCTCTAATTATGTGTGTCCTCTAATTATGTGTCCTCTAATTATGTGTCCTCTAATTATGTGTCCTCTAATTATGTGTGTCCTCTAATTATGTGTCCTCTAATTATGTGTCCTCTACTTATGTGTGTCCTCTAATTATGTGTGTCCTCTAATTATGTGTCCTCTAATTATGTGTCCTTTAATCATGTGTGTCCTCTAATTATGTGTCCTCTAATTATGTGTCCTTTAATCATGTGTGTCCTCTAATTATGTGTGTCCTCTAATTGTGTGTCCTCTAATTATGTGTCCTCTAATTATGTGTGCCCTCTAATTATGTGTCCTCTAATAATGTGTGTCCTCTAATTATGTGTCCTTTAATCATGTGTGTCCTCTAATTATGTGTCCTTTACTCATGTGTGTCCTCTAATTATGTGTCCTCTAATTATGTGTGTCCTCTAATTATGTGTCCTCTAATTATGTGTCCTCTACTTATGTGTGTCCTCTAATTATGTGTGTCCTCTAATTATGTGTCCTCTAATTATGTGTCCTTTAATCATGTGTGTCCTCTAATTATGTGTCCTCTAATTATGTGTCCTTTAATCATGTGTGTCCTCTAATTATGTGTGTCCTCTAATTGTGTGTCCTCTAATTATGTGTCCTCTAATTATGTGTGCCCTCTAATTATGTGTCCTCTAATAATGTGTCTCCTCTAATTATGTGTCCTTTAATCATGTGTGTCCTCTAATTATGTGTCCTTTACTCATGTGTGTCCTCTAATTATGTGTCCTCTAATTATGTGTGTCCTCATTTCCCTTTCCCCTTGCACACCCCCTCATGGGGTTTCCCCGTGCACCCCTTTTGTTGCGCTTTCTTAGTTTCTGCCCTTTTCTGGATTGCCCTAGGTTGCCCCACAGCCCCTCCCTGTTCCCCGCTCCCGATGCCCTTCCTCCTTGTGACCTGCTCTTTCCTACAGCCCAGGTGGAGTGAGGAGCACATTCACTCCCAATCTTAGAAAGCGGTGACTGGGGAAATGATCCGGTTATTCCTCACCTCACCTCACGCCTTCCCCTGCCTTGCTTTGGAGGTTGCTCACTCATTTACCCTCCTGTGTTGCCCCTCTTCACATCCCCCACCCGATCCCCTCTCCTCCCTTCCCCGTGTCACCCAGGTGGACTGGGAGGCGATACTAAATCCCCGTTTTAAGCACTTCAATGACTCGGTGTCGCCGTGGTTCTACAGGAAGGTTGCGCCTTCACCCTGGCATTTGCCACGTGTCAGTGAGGCCCTGCCCACGACGCGCCACGTCATCGCTGCCCTCAGCTATGACCTGGAATCCGACGATGATGAGAAGGATTATGACAATGATGACGATTGAGAGGTGAACATTTTATTTTCCAGGAGTTATAGAACACTAACGACAGAAATAAAGCACTACTCCTTGCGGATTTCATTGAAAGAAGTGCCTAAGGGTTTAGAGCCTGCTCTGTCTATCCTAAACAACGGTGTTGTTATCGCTGCTCTTGGTATCGAGGTTTCCCACCGCGTGCCTCCGCCAGTCAGCCGCTTGCTGTGGCTTGGAGTCCTCAACCGACGCATGTGCCCGTCCTTGCGCCATACGTCACGCTCCGAGTCGGAATCGCTTCCGCCGCTGCTAGTGAGGCTGCGACCGCCCGACTCTTCCGGCCGCCATGCTTCGCGCTCGCATCGTTCTCCCGCGCAATTCCCCGCACCCGAAAGTCCCGCAGGTTGCGCGCGGAACTCACGGCGCGGGAAAGCGCTCCGCCATGCCCGCTCGGGCCATCCTCCCCGCAGGCGCCTCAGTTGAAATAGCTGCTGCTGCGCGCTCATCGGCAATCCCTTGGTTCACTTCCCGCACTGCGCAGCCGCGCGCCATTGCGCTAACTCCCCGCGCCGCGCAATCGCACAGCACGCGGCAACTTCCCGCGTCCGCCCATACCGCTACAGAGCGCAAAGCCCGCGCAGTACTATTCCGCGCCAATCACCGCGCGGACTCCCGCTGCGCGTGTA